GAGAGCGGGGCAATCGCTGGCACCGGGTGCGAGAGGTGGCTGCTGGCCCCGATCGCCCCTCAAGAGCAGGGGGAGGTGGAGAAGCCCAAAGGGGCGAATGGGGCCGGCAGCCACCGCCCACACCCACTGACAGCACCGAGCAATCAGGGCTGGCACCGGGCGCTGGCAGTGGGTGCAAACGGGGCCAGTGCCAGCAGCAGGTGCAAGCACCAGGCAGAACCGTGGAATGCGGGAGCAAAGAATTTTCAGTAACCACCAGAGGCTTGCCCCAATGACAGTGACCGCTGCCCCACCATGGTCTGGCACCCTTGATCACCTGCTCCACCATCCCACTGTGGCCAATGCCCATCATGTTCTGCACTCTGCTGCCTGCTGCCGACGCCTGCCATGTTCCGCGTGTGCCCTCTGGTGGTCAACGCATGTCAGAGAAACCAGTTGTTCAGTTGTTCCAACATTCGGTCTATTTGCATATTAGGGTTTTATATATAGAGACTAGAGGCCCAGTACACAAAAATTTGTGCACTCGGGGGGTCCCTCAGCCCGGCCTGTGCCCTCTCGCAGTCTGGGACCCCTCGGGGGCTGTCCCCCCGGGGGATCGGGCCTAAGCTGGCAGTCAGACATCCCTCTGGCAGCCCCGGAGTCCTCAGGGGATGTCCATTTGCCAGCGGGGAGCAGGCCTAGCTGCAGTCGGGCATCCTTAGCGCTGCTGAGGCGGGCGGCGGGAGAGGCTCCCGCCATCACCGCTGTGCTGGCAGCCATCAGCCTGGCTCAGAGCTCCCCCTATGGGAGCGCACTGACCACCAGGGGCAACTCCTGCATTGAGCATCTGCTCCCTAGTGGTCAGTGTGTGTCAAAGTGACTCATCATTCCTAGTCATTCTGCTGTTAGGGTCAATTTGCATATTACCCTTTTATTATATAGGATAAAGGCCTGGTGCATGGGTGGGGTCGGCTGGTTTGCCCTGAAGTGTCCCGGATCAGGGTGAGGGTCCCACTGAGGTGTCTGGGCAGCCTGGGTGAGGGGCTGAGGGCCATTTTCAGGCTGTTCACACCCTCTTCAGGGTGAGGGTCCCCACTGGGGTTCCATGGCCAACCTAGGTGAGGGGCTGATGGCTGTTTGCGGGCTGGTCAAGCCTCTTGGCGACTGAAGCTCCCAGCCTCTCCTTTTTTTCCTTTTCTTTTTTTTTTTTTCAGCAGGTATCTGGGATTTATTTTATCTTCTATAATTGAAACTTTGTAGCCTTGAGCGGAGCTCAGGGCCTGCCAGGGCGGGCAGGAAGCTTGGCTTCCTCCATTGCCAGGGGCAACCCAAGCCTCCTGCTCGCTCCAGCTCCGTAGCAGCCGCCATCTTTGTGACGGAGTGAGGGAGTGATGGTTAATTTGCATATTACTCTTTTATTAGATAAGATAGGATATGCATAGCCCTTGGACATGGGCAATAGGGTAGTGAAGACCTGGGGTGGGAGGGCAGGGGCATAGGGCCTGGGAGGAGGGGAATAAAGGAGGGGGGAATGGGAAATTCCTGTAATGCTATCAATAATAAAAAATATATTTTTAAAAATCTTGTTTAAACAATAAAGATAATTGATTGGCTCAATTAAATCTTAAAGTTATAGTTCCCAATTATACAACTAGCAGAAATCAGATTAACAATGAATGACACTTGAGTGCTTTCAATGGGAAGCAAAAGGGCCATATTAAAATAATAATAATGATTATAATAATAATAATAATACCACCACCAGTAACTGGGAATCCCTCTCATGATCAGATTGTAAAAACGGAAGAGATGCGTATGTTGTGTCCTCACACTATAAGTAAATGTTATGCTGAATGCAAAACACATAAAAGTGAGATAGCAAAATTTGGATAGCTTGCAGGTTAGAAATGATCCAGAGTGTTTTTTTCTTAAGGAAGACCCATAAGTCCTGACTGGCTCTCATTTACCTGCATTTCCCTTTTAAGAAAAATTCGGCCTTAACTTCCAACCAAGTTTACCATCTTGCCCATTCCCAATGCTCCACCATTTCAGCAAGAAAAACACTGACACTAAGACTTCCTAGGAATGAGCCTTCCTAGCAAATTATCCAACCAAGAGCTTGGTCTTGCATCTGAAGATGAACAAAAGGGGAAAGTGTGCACAACAAAGGGGCCACATACTGAACCTGACAAGCTCAGAGGAAGCCTGCATGGCTGACCTTACAAACTCAGAGACTGAAAGTAACCACATAGGATAGTCAGAACATAAAAATTCCTAACTAAAAGCAAGTTATGGTGGTAGTCAAGACCTAGGCCTGCAACTTTCTTAACAAAGATCAATCTTTATCTTAACTGAGGCTGTCTAGTGTCTTTTTGCATCCAATATAACATACCTTTGAGATGTCAGAGTAATCTCTTTTTCCAGATCCCTCAAGGCACGACCATAGCACCAGAGCACAGAAGCCTTCATTATTACCTTGTTTCTCACATATCATCTATATGCTTTAAATGATAATTATTAACTATCCTATACCCACCAATGTAAAAGAAGGATGAGTTCCTCCAGTTTATTTTTTATCCAATCCCAGAGATTCCCCCCTTCCTGTTCTCCCACCCTCTTAATCTCCCACCAATGGATTTCATGTAACCCTCCTTAGTCTCTTCCTTTTATTCTAATGTGTAAAATAAGCTACAAAAACCTCTGGAGCATTTTCTCAACCTGTTGAGATTTTACTTCCCAGCAATTGTCAGTTTGACTCAAATAAACTCATAAAAGTTTTTTAAAAAATTGAGACCCCAGCAGCAAGCTAACTTACCATTCAGAGCATCTGTCCCCTGGTGATCAGTGCACATCATAGCGAGCAGTTGAGTGGCCTTAGCATATCATTAGCATATTATGCTTTGATTGGGTGAATGGATGACCAGACGACCAGACACTTAGCATATTAGGCATTTATTATATAGGATGTTGCTAAAAGTCATGTGTATAAAAATCATGCCTATTGTGTGATGTTATTTTTCTTAGTCTTATATACATAGAAAAAATGATACATATAGTAAAATGTTTTCAATAGGTGTTGATTTTTACTTCATTCCTTTCTAATTTATGTGAATAGAGGATGGAGCAAAAATAGATTTACAGTTGTGAGTACATCAGAGTTTATTCTGGTAATATTTTTTAATTATTGTATTATTGTGCATATGAATAACTGTAAACCTACTTTTGGCCCATCCTGTATTTTATAATTATTTATTACATTCATAATTATTTTTTAAAAATTAGATAATGAAACTGTGAATATGTTAAATATTAGCCCCAGTTTAGTGACAGGGCCCAGCAAAAGTGACTTCATTTTTGGCCTGTGGTTTTCTTTTTAACAATTGGAAACAAAGGTGAAGTGAGGAGAGCAGGAGAAGAATACATAACTTTTCTATAGTTTCAGTTTCTGACCATTTTTTTCCTGCTTAGTTTTCAGATCCTTTTATAACAGTTAGACAGACAAGAGCAGAGCAAGACGATGGACCAGATACAGAAGGTCACCAGTTTGAAAAGCCCTGGGTGCCTCCCTAGGGTGACCTTTCCTCCCCTAGCATATACTGGTCATGCAGTTTGGACCCCCTGACCTTTCATCCCTAGAGATAACATCTAGGCTTCAGTTGTATTTCAGCTCCAGGCCAGAACAGCCACAAAACCAGACAAGCAATGCCATGGTTGACCTCAGGGCCAGCTGCATTGAATCATGACCCTCTGCCCTGGTGCCAGCCAATCTATCAATAGGAACCACAACCCTGAAAGGACATACCTGGAAAACTCCTGAATATTCTACTGAAATCTTCCCCTGGGACCTCCCCTAAAAATGTCACCCTTAAAACCCTTAGGATGGACCCAGTTGCTCTCCCTTCCGGGAGCACCCCATGCCTCTCCGGTTCCCCCAGGCACTTACCATTACCTTCCTCACTCCCAAGCTCCAAGGGCCCTTCCTCTGCCTCTATTACTTGTTTCCTAAGCCCATTTCTTCTAGGAATTGCTTCTCCCACCTCTGTGATTTTATAAATAAAGGATCTCTTATGGTTTGAGTCTTGGCTCTGAATTCTTTCCTTGCCAGAACTCAAGTACCAGGTTGTTGAGCCCAGGTTTGATCAGATGCCACAGGTCTAGTACCTGGTGCCCTTCCCATTGCCCACACTTTAACCGACACTCAGCTTACTGTAATTTTTCAAGTTACATTCTTGTATCTTTACACTAAAACCACCAGGATGATAGGAAGACATTGAAGTTGCAAGACAAGAAAGTTAAAGATGCAAAGCAAACTAGAGGCTTTACAAAGCACAGACGCTTGGGGAGATATTAAGTGGGATCAGGTTATAAACATTTTTAAGTTTGAAATAGTTTTCCTTCCAAAGGACTAATTCAAATACAGGATTCCTTCTGGTTTCAAAACGGAGTTCTAAGTCTTCACCTAACATTATGGATAGGTTCTTGGAACTGCAAGGAAACAACATATAACGAAACCAATTTTACCATAGGCAAATTAACATACACAAGATTAAATTCTTGGAATTTCATCAACGTTATAACAAACCACGTGAAAGAAAAGGTGCTATTGGAGGATCTACCGTATTCGGGGCCCCTTCATTTCAAGAAGCTCTGGAAGTTTTCCACCAATACACAACCAGTTTCCTCTTGGGAGACCAAGGGGATATGCAGGTAGTTCCCTTCAAAATATAAACATAGGCAGACAGGGACCGGGAGCTCATTCTAAATTAAGCACAGTGCTAAAGCTTCACAGACATTTAAATCTGAGTTAGCCAAGTCAAGGTCACGCTGCCTTGGGAAAGAGGAAGGCGGGATTCTGAACCAGGTCTGATTCTTATTTAAATCCTCGCGCTTAAACTCTGTGCCATAAACATGACTAGGTTAACAAAGAGAGGAATTGGCGGATCACACGACGACGCTGGGGTTAGAGGGAAAGACTAAAGGCCTCTGAAGCTGAGTTTAGGAAAACACGACACAAGGATTACCCACTGCGGCCGCCATCTTGCGGGAGCCGGGCGGCCGGAAGTCCCGCCTCCTGAGTCTAGTGACTGGGCCGCTCGCTGGGGGCGGGGCCGGGCACCCTGAGTCTCCTCGTCCAGGAGGCGGGGGCGGAGCATGAGGGTGGGCCCGGAGGCTGGGAGGCTGGGAGGCTCGCGGCGAAGGGCGGGGCCTGGAAGCGGGGCGGGGCCTGGAGGGGGCGGGGCCTGGAGGCGAGGCGGAGCCGCCCGGGAGGAGCTGACCGGGCCACCGCTTCTCTGTACCTCACTTTCGTGGAACGTGACTGAGCTCCTGCAGCCGGCAGCTCGCAGCTCTCTGCGAGGGGCGCTGTGCGTAGGAGATGACGGTGATTTCCTCCCTGCCTGGCCCCCGCGAGCACCAACTCCCTTCTCGCGGCCCCGGGGCTGCAGACGTAGCAGGTGAGATGGGCCCCCGGTGCCCCCCGCCCCCTGGATCTGAGCAGGTGGGCAGCGCCCAGCCCTCGGCTCCCAGGCCCGAAGCCCACTGCCTGTGCCCGCCCGCCTCTGCCCCGCAGCGCCCGCCTTTAGGACGTGGGGGGCCACCGGGAAGGCTTACGTAGGGGCAGGGGCAGCTTGCTTGTACCTTCTGGGGACAGGATTGCCATTCCCTAGTTCGAGGGGCACCTCGTTTCACCCTGTCATTCTCGGGCTCTTCCCGTTATCCCAAGGGGCGTCCTCGGTATCTGCCCTCCTGGGACCTTCTGCCCATGCACTTGGAGAGTTGCCCCAAATTTCCTCCCCTACCCCCTTTCAGAGCATGTCAGTGACTCTGACGTGGTGACGCCCATGCCCAGGGGAGCCTGAAGGACCAGCTGGCCATCCCAGCCGCAGACCCCTCGCTGCCTGCCCACTTCTGCCGCTGCTGCCGGGCATTGGGTGGCAGCTGCTCTCGGCGGCCTGTGCGGTTAGCGGCTCTCCACACCCTTCTCTTGGAGGGCCAAAGTCTACAAGGAAGAGCCCTGCGCAGGGCTCCCCACGCTGGGTCCTGGGCAAGGACATTTGGTTCCCCACAAGCAGTGGGCGTGGGTGGATGGTGTGGCTGTTGCTGTTGGAGGGTGCTTGAATAGTACCACCCTCTTACGCTGTTCCCTGGGATAAAGGGGAAACGGACAGCCTGGGAGTTTAAAGCTTTCTCTTTGAATTGAATCAGGAAACCCTCTTCCCGATTTTTACTTCATAACAATTATAATGTCAGTGGTTTTCTGGTGTTATCTAAACAAAATACCAGTGGGCAGCAGCCTGAAGTGGTTTGTATATAGCAGGTGTCCACCGCTGCCCCTTTTACTGACAGGTCAGTGTGTTTGTGACACAGTGAGCTTTGTTTTAATGAGATGAAAAAACTGGATGTAACTTTTTAAAGAAACTCCCATTACTGTGGTTCCTGTTTATTTTAAAAGAATGCTTTAGATAGCACATTTTCCTCCCCCAGGGGACGGGTGGGGGGAATTTAAAGAAGATAAAAACTTTATAAGTCCTTTTTAGTTATTTTGATTTCCCCTCAACTAGCAGGTATTCCCTTTATAATGTTGAGGAACATTAAAAGAAACCTCATGGAAAAGGGGAAAATTACTTTTCAGTTTTTCTCTTAATTTTCAACTAACTGAAAGTTAAACCTGGACGTTACTACAACTATTCGACCATCACCTTGAGAAAAATGAAGAGCTCTCCCTTCCCTGCTAACAACTATTTAAGATCAAACTAAATTAAATTGAACTTCTCTTAATTGTTTGGTATAAAATAAAAACGGATAAACTTATGACCCATCCTGTCCCTCTATTTTAGTTGAAGGATCTTTAATACCAAATATTGTTTGAAGAACTGACATAGGGCAATACAGTGTATTTAATTTGTATTCTTCTTATAATAATTAGGACTACAGCTCCTAATAGCAATTGCTACCATTTTAAAAAATGTATTGGCACTATTACAGATGTCCTCCGTCCCCCTACCCCCTGACCCACCTTCACCCAGCCCCTCTCCCCTTCCCCTGGCCTTCACCGCACTGTTGTCTGTCTCCATGGGCTATGCATATGTGTTCTTTGGCTAATCTCCACCTTCTTTCATACAACCCCTCTCCCCCATTTCCTTTACCTCTAAACTCTGTCAGTCTGTTCCATGTATCCATGCCCCTGGTTCTATTTTGTTCGTTATGTTATTTTGTTCATTAGATTCCACATATAAGTGAGATTATATGGTATTTATCTTTCTCTGTCTGGTTTATTTCACTGAACATAATAATCTCCAAGTCCATCCATGCTGTTGCAAAAGGTAAGAAAGAGTTCCTTCTTTTTTTTTTTTTAAATATATATTTTATTGATTTTTTACAGAGAGGAAGGGAGAGAGATAGAGAGTTAGAAACATCGATGAGAGAGAAACATCGATCAGCTGCCTCCTGCACATCTCCCACTGGGGATGTGCCCGCAACCCAGGTACATGCCCTTGACCGGAATCGAACCTGGGACCTTTCAGTCCGCAGGCCGACGCTCTATCCACTGAGCCAAACCGGTTTTGGCAGTTCCTTCTTTTTTATAGCCGCATAGTAATCCACTGTGTAAATGTACCACAATATTTTTACCCACTTCTCTACTGATGGGCACTTGGACTGGTTTCAAATATTGGCTATTGTAAATAACACTGCTATGAACATAGGGGTGTGTATATTCTTTCTGATTGGTGTTTCAGGATTCTTAGGATATATTCCCAGGAGTGGGATCCCTGGGTCAAAGATACCATTTCTTGAAGACCTACTTTGTGATAAACTATAAGCTTAGTATAAAATCTCCAATCCTCACAATATCCTTCTAAGGAGATTTTTACTCTAATTTTATAGTTAAAGAAGCTTAGCTTCTGAGAGGCTAGGTAACTTGACCAAAAATTTGATAAGAGATAAGGCCCAAAATTGGGTTCATGTCTTTTTGACTCTTCTCACTGAACAACTACTAGTTTAGTTAAAACTATTGGTTTAAGAACTATTTTAATGCATTGATAATGTGAGTGTGGTACAAATAAGGGGTAGTGAGCCGTATCAGTTATTAATACTTCAGGCAAAGAAATACATATAGAGAACTTTGAAAAAAATAACAGAAGCCCTCACCGGTTTGGCTCAGTGGATAGAGCTTTGGCCTGCGGGCTGAAGCATCCCAGGTTCGATTCCGGTCAAGGGCACATGCCCTGGTTGTGGGCTCGTTCCCCAGTAGGGGGCGTGCAGGAGGCAGCCGATCAATGATTCTCTCTCATCATTGATGTTTCTATCTCTCTCTCTCTCCCTTTCCCTTCCTCTCTGAAATGAATAAAACTATATTTTAAAAAAATAACAGAAAACTGGGCTACTTTATCACCTCATTCTTTAGCACTGACTTTTAATGGCTCCAAATGTTTAACACCTTTGTTTAATTGTTTACCAGCTCCTACTTCAACTATGAGTACCTGTACCAACCAGTAGCTTTCCCAGGATATAATTGGACGCTGACTTGCTAAACTTCAGGTATGTGAATATTGTAGGTTTTGTGTCTAGTGACCACTCCTGTCTAATCCCGGTAGGAAAATACTTGTCCTGATCCAGATTAAATGTAAGTTTTTAAATGGTTCCGTTTATACCAGGGTAGCACAGAGAAAATTATCTCGTTCACACCCCTGAGTATCAGTTATTGCTGGTCTCTGGCCTGCCACCAGGGTCTTTTTAATGTGATGTAGATGTTTGAGAACTTAATTTGGGCATTGCACATTTCGGGAATGAGCTTTTCTACTTTCTACCTTATATAAGGTAACTTTAGATGATTAACTGGAATAATTACTTATAAATTGGCAGTTGCTGCCATGTTAACTTCAGGTTACTAATAAGAGCTGATTAGTTGCAGTTGTCTAAACTTCACGCTCATGTGTCCCTGGCAGCAAGAGGGGAATCTGATTATAATATTAGCATTCCTTGCTTTAGCATTTTTTTGAACATCTTTAGGACATTTTACAACACATTTGTGTTCTTTAACATTTAATGAACAGCTTTAGAACATTTTAGAACACATTGTGTGGTCTTGGGCCTGTTACTGTAGTGAAAAACTTAGAATACTTTATCATCAAAAAAAAAAAGAGAGAGAGAGATTTCTGTCTATGAACTAGATAGTTCCTAAAAGAGAACATTGATTCACTAAAAAATGAAGTAAATATACACATATGGAGTCTCCTGTGTGCCATGCACTATTTTAGGTGGTAGGAACATAACAGTAAGTAGAAACATGCACAGACTCTGTTTCTGTGGCACTTAAAGTCTACTAAAAGAGGTAGACATAAAACAAATAGCCACTCTAATGCATAGTATAATTATAAAATGAGAAAAGTGGCCAAACCTAAGGAACATGATTATATTTGAGAAAGAATCGTGGCCTGGTTGTGGGGTTAGAGAAGCCTTACCTGATAGAAGCAACTCCCGGACTATGTGATTTAGAGGATGAGTAGGCGTTAGTATGTAGGGAGTGGTGGGTGGGTAGAGAAGAGAACATTTCAGAGTTAACTGCATGTGCAAAGTCCATGTAGCACAAAGGGTCTGGGACATTCAAGAAGGCCAATGTGTGGCTGGTATAAAAGGAACTAAGAGTAGGTTGGTGGAATGCCATCATTTTTTGTTTCATTATCTCTCTTAATATGCTACCAAAATTATATTTAACTTTTGTTAAGGGATTACTTTGTTCCAGATGTGATTGTAAGGACTTTACTTAAATCATCTCAAGTTCCTATTAGGTGGGTACTATTATACAGATGATGAAAGTGATACCTACAGTATGTTACTGGTTCAAAGTTGATAAGGGATACTCTACTATACCCTTCGTCCTATCCTATAGTCAAGTATGGCCACAGGCTGGAAAGGCCCCTTCTGTCTAGTGTGTCTCCTTGACGTAACCCTGAGAATTTCTGAAATTTCTGGAGAAGTTGAATGCAGGTGAATATTCAGCAGAGACTCTGTGAGCTCCATGCTCTTAATCAGTAGGTGGAGCT